GATGTGAAATAGTACCAGAATTTAACTCATCAAAAGAACTAAAAATCTAAATGCAACGTCTAAATGAGAAAAAATTAATACAATTACATATCTACATTATCAACATCATCTCTTCAGCTTTGCTTTTCTTTTTAAATTCTAGTATCAATCTTGGTCTTCATAAGTTGTCTCGTCCTTGCCCAAAATATGAACAAATGAAATATATAATGTCGATGATTATTTTGAAGAAAAAAATGGACAAAAGAAAATTAGGGACCAAAAAAATAAGTTATTAGATTTAAGGACTAAATGTTGATTTATCTTTTTAAAAACCTAATTTAAGGCCGTCTCGAAGAAGAGAAAACAAAAGGTAGAAAGAAGCTTCCTTTCGCTTTACACTTCATAAACATAAAGGCAAAGTGGCGAACATGTATACATATATGATATAATATATGTTTTCTTTTTAATGGATTCCATAGCTTGTCCTTTTCCCCATTTATGATCTTATCCTGTGTAAAATTTCAAACTATCCGGATATCATCCACTCATAAATTAAAATATAATATATTTAAATTCATATAATTTTGAATAAATAATATTAATATCAATAGAATTAAGATAAAATCAAAATAATATATTTGTAATTACTAAATTAACTCTAATTATTTTTAACTCTAATCAATATTAATTAAATTTTAACTCAATTAGTATGATTGTTGTCATATAATTTAAAGCACATAAATTCGAACAAATTTAAACACATATTATTCTTTTATTTAACATCATGTGTAATTCTAATATTTTTATCAAAATAAATAAAAATTAAAACTCGAAATCGTAAATTTATACAAATTTAATCTTTGGATCTGAACCTTCAAAATTAACCTCCAACATTAATCCTAAACCTAAATCTACTTATGTTAATATCAACTATTAATAAAGTATGTTACGAATAATAACAAACAATGATTAGTAATCAATTGTGAAATAAGAATAAGAAAATAAAAGAAAACGAGTTTTAGTGATAAATTATTTCGAGAGAAAAATCACAGACATAAAAGAACAAATTTATTACATCAATGATCAAATACACAAAAGATTGTAAGAGACGTTAACAAAAACTTAAATGTGTCACAATAGTGCACTTATTGAAACTTAAAAATTTTAAGGGGTGTTTGGATGGGGGAATGTGGGATTCCCATAAAAATGGAATCCATATTCCCCGTTTGGTTAGTCCTGTAATCCTATTCTCGGTAATGTAAGATTATTAATAATGAATTTTTTAGGGTATATTACCGGGAATGTCATTACCTCAATTTCCTTAGGTATAGTTGGATTATCGGTGTTTTGGACTAAAATGCCCTTAAATTTTTTTTTTTTTCAAAAATATCATTATTCTGTTATTGAATAATAAAAATTCTACGAATGTTAAATTACAAATTTATCCTTAAATTATTTTAGATTTACAAAAAAAAATCTATAATTAAAATTTTATATGAAGTTCAAGGGTTAAAATAAAATTTTACCCTTTCATTAAATTTTTTTATTTTTAATTTTGTAAAAAATACATAAATATTATAAATTTAATTTTTTTAAGAAAATATATAAATATTTTCAACTTGTAATATTATACAAATATATAATAAGGACAATTTGGTCAAATATACATTCCAATAATCTTTTATTCCTTTAACCAAACACGGTAATCTTACATTCATACTAAGCCAACCAAACACAAAATACAACATTCCAGTAATCCTATTCTAGTAATCTTACCTTCCCACTGGTAATCTTACATTTCAGTGATAATTTTATTCCGTAAACCAAACGCACCCTAAGTATATATTTATAGTTATACAGCACTCAAAGCCCTAAAACAATATTATAGTATCAATTCAAGAGTTTTCGTATCTATCGTATATCTTATTTTTTGTTTTTTTAATCAATTTCTTCATCAAACATATTATATCATAAACTTTTCAGGTTGAACTAAAAGAAATTCAAATTACAATCTTCAACAAAATATTATTAGTATATAACTTGTTAAAAAAATGAAAAATATAATTTTGTTAAACACAACAAATAATTTTTTATTAGATGATTATTTATGACTACGTACTAACCATCAAGTGTACACGGAAGATCTGAAAACTCGGCTCATCTCGTGGTCTCATGGTGTGAGTCGACTCAGTTGGACCACGACCGTGTGTCACCGTTCGGCGGTGATGGTGATGTTTACAAGAGCCAGGCTTTGGTCGTGAAATGTACAAAAAGACATATTTGGGGTGCGTGTAGTGTAATTGTAACAGATTCTTGGATAGCGTAGACTCGACAAAATTCACGTGTACTTGACTACAATCAATTCTTGCATTAATTGTGCTTCACATCAACTCACCTTGACCTTACTGGTTCACACATATATTTTTTTTGGATTAATTTCACACACACACACAAATATATATATATATATATTCAAATCTATCAATTGATATCAGAATAGAAGGTTATTCTCCCTAGAAATATAATTAAAATTTTTAAAAGTTTAAATACTAATTTAAAGTGTATATATATTGTCAATAGATAAATTTTTTTAAACAAATATTATTTTTGTAATCACTCAATCTAATCAATATATATATATATATATATATATATCATTATAATTATAAAATAAAAAAATTATTTCATTAATTATTAAATTTTAATATATGTATTGATTTGATCAAATTTTGAAAAGTTTCAATCTATCATCAATAATTGATTCATAAATATTTTTTAGAGTAAATACACATATATTAATAACATAATTTTTTATTTGGGATAGACATAAATAAAATCAACTAACTGAAATAAAATTTAAATTTCAAGATAAACATTTACCCCATATTAAATTAAACTGAGCATCCATTTTACTATTAATTTTTTATCACTATATTATTAAATTATTAACGGTTTGATGATATGACTGTTTCTTTCTAATTTTTGTAAACAAATTATTAGCTCTAATCGAACATTACTTTATAATTAAATTTAAATAAAAATTATTATTAATTATTAATCTACATTTGATTTAATCGATGCAAATTCATAAAATCTCCATTATAAATTGGCTCATATAAACCAAATAAACAACCCAATCATAAAAATTATATTAATTATTAATCTACATTTGATTTAATCGATGCAAATTCATAAAATCTCCATTATAAATTGGCTCATATAAACCAAATAAACAACCCAATCATTAAACAAATCTATAAAATAAGAAATAAAAAATGTTGGTTAATTTTGTGAGGTAAAATGTAAACCTCTAAAGGTTTGAGAATTTATTCAAAAAAAAAACCATAGATTATATAGTATTATGCACCAAAAGAAAAAGTAACGATAAGTAAAACAGATATGGTCGAAAATAAAAAATATATATTAAGATTTACATAAGAAATTTTAAGAAGAAAAACTATAGATAAAAGAAAAAAATTATTATAATGTCAAAACTATGAAGATATACGATTAAAGGGCTTAATACGAATTCTAAGATTTCATTTTACAATAACATTAATATATTATTTATTTATAGAGTTAATTACTTGATGAGGAAAAAAATTTAGTATTACAAATACTCTTATTTAATATAAGTTCTTACATTTAGTTAAAAACTAATAATTACAAGAGTTAGAATCTACTTATACGATATAAAACTTTTTAATTTTACACAGATTTAAGATCATTGAATGTATAAAAATAAATGAATGAGACCGACTCATTGTTTTTTTTCTAATTAATATATTTTTATTTATTATTGTTAATATCATTTATCTATTTTTACTATTTAAATGATCATAAATCTATAAAAAAATTTTAAGAGTTTTGTATTGTATAACATGATATTATCCCTATAAAAGATTTAGTTACATATATATTGAATGTACAACCAAATCCGTACTGTAAGAGCTCCTCTCCCGCATTCCCATTCAAGATTAACGATGAGCTTCAACCTCATATCATTTTTTTCTTTGAATTCAATTATTTTGTTAAAACATATCAAATTATAAGATTTTAAAATTAAATAACAGAACTCGAGCCATAAAACTTACCAATATTTATTTTATATTTAGAAAATTAAAATCAAAATCTGGCTTAATAATAACATATATTTTAATTTTATTTCTTTTATAATAACGTGATGTAGAAATAAAGGTTTTATAAAATTGAGTAAAACGACATGAAAGCGGTACGGAGACGGACTCGTAGCGGGGGTTACTGTCGGCCATTGGTTGAGTGGTAATGACAGATACCAACTTGAGCGGAAAACGATGTCGCATTTTTTGCATGAGATGAATTTCTGATGTGGTTGATTTGGGCCCCATTTTAGTCAACGATGTTTCAACTGTTGGATCCAACGGTTGACAATAACCTAGAAAAAAAATGATAAAAGGAATAAATATCAAAATTATACACCAAGTTATCGTGATATAAGAATTTTGATTTAGTGTTATTATAGACATGCAATTTTTCTTTGATTTTGATTCGACTGTACATATAAAATTTCAATGTTTGAATGAGTGGACATAAATAAAATTTTAGGATGGACATTATAAATAAAATAAATAATTAATCAAAAAAAATCAAATTTTAAGATAAATACGAACCTACCTAGAATATATGTGCATCCACCACGGTCTATAACTTAGATATATTACAAGAACTAAAATATGACTTAGTAGATTTAACGGCTACTGCTTAGGTCAAAACTGAGTGTTCAATTTTGAAAAGTAGATGGACTAAAACGGACTAAATTAGAGAATAGAGATTAAATCCACCAGTTTTACATAGTACAGGAACTAGTAAAAGAAATTGACCAAGAATAAAATACGCTGCTTAAAAGGTAAACAAGTAAATTGGGAAAGCGATGAGGTCAATATCGTAAAATGTAGGGAACTGTCGGCCTCTAAACTGGGGTTAAATAGACTCGAGACCCGGGTTACGAGTTACCCTTGTGAGTTACGAGTTTTTCCTCTGACTCTGAGTCCTGGAGCGTCGGTGACTCGGCCAGAGTTTACCACGAGTTAAACTTGTATTTTCGAAGATAAAGATTAAAAATATATTAATCTGAAGAGAAAAGACGGAGGGAAATTTGGTATATAAGGAATGGAACCCAATTCTAAAAATGCGTCTTCGTTTTGGTTGTGAGAGGGGAAAATGGCAGATTCTAGCGATTCGGTTTCCATTGATATGGAAATAATCTCTCTAGGCGGCAAGGTAATTTGCATTGATGTTTTACCTTCCTGTTTGGTTACTGAGAAAATGCGGGAATTGAAGAGAACGTAAAGGAAACAAAGCTTAATGCAGCAGCTATCTATATTTTCTTTAGCTAAGCTGGATTATTCTTCAATTTCTTGTTTAATTCCCTGTTTTAAGCTATGTAGCTTATATTTTTAGGTTTTATCCTTTGATTCTTCTTTTTTTCCTCATTTTAGAAGTACCCAGATGGATTAAATTCAATGATATTTTGAAACTATAATGGGTTTTACCCCCAGTTATTTGCTTCATGTGCAAGAAGATCAAAATTTCCTGAGTTTGGGCGATGAATAACATGCTTAGATGATCAAAATTGTATTCTGATTAAAGGATTTCTGCTGCACATGCTAGCTTTATCTAGTTAGAATATACTTAACTCGGGATATGCTTTTGAAACATTTCTAATTTTGTAGCAAATAACACTTAAGTGAGTTGGATTTTCCTTAGCTAATAATAATAGATCATATATTGTAATTTTCTGCTGTAGTTATTTGTTCAAATCGAGGCGTTTTTTCCGGTTTGATAAATGAATAACAACGCATTTTTAAAATCTTTCTGCAGGAGTACCTTGTGAAAACTCGCCTCGGTACGGTTTCTGTTGTTGTGTTTGGAGACCAAGATAAGCCGGCTCTTGTTACCTACCCCGATTTAGCTCTGAATCGTAAGTAATTCAGAAAATTTATTGTTTCTTCGATTTTCGTTATGCTTCCTTCCTCGTGACAAAATATTTGCTTCAGAGTCTGTAAAAATGGATCTTGGTTTTTGTTAACAATTTGGCTTTTATCTTTGCATGCTGAATTTTCTCCTTAAATATAGATACATTTGTGTTTTCATCATAGTGCATGGGACATTGAGGCTGTAATGCTTTCAATCCGAAATATGTTGGAAATTCATGATCTTATTTGTAACATTTTTGTACTGACCAGATCATTTCATACGGTGATAGGTTTCGTATTTCAAATCTTTTAATTATGTGACTTTGTGCAGATATATCCTGTTTCCAAGGCTTGTTCTTTTGCCCAGAAGCTAGTTCCTTACTCCTGCACAACTTTTGCATATATCATATAAGTCCTCCTGGGCATGAGGTCAGTTCTATGAATGTTTTAATTAGCTTTTCTAATCTTCCTTTTTCGGTTAAGTCCTATAATTCACACCTTTCTTATCGGAACTTCCTTCAAGAAATATTGCAGTTGGGAGCTGCCCCGATCGGTTCCGATGACTTTATTCCTTCTGTTGATGACTTGGCGGATCAGATTCTTGAGGTTCTCAATTTTTTCGGGTAAAATATAGTTTCATCATTGCTTTATCTTTCCAAGTGTATCTCTTTTGCTCTAGACATTTTATGACACATTATGTTGTCACGGTGGCTGGTAATTGGTGTGCTGTAGTTGTCTGAAAATGATGCAAATTGAGGCACCTACCACCCTTTACATAATTTCTTAAGCTGTCGTCATCTTTAATATATTATCACCACTAATAATCTATATTGGAAAGGAAGGCAAGGAAGTTGATGTTCCTTATCTTTTAACTCTTCCTTTTTTAATGGTTTAACCGCAGGCTTGGTGCCGTAATGTGTATGGGAGTTACATCTGGGGCATATATTCTTACCTTATTTGCGGTAATTCAACTATCTTGGCATAGTATGCTAATTTTTTTCATTTCAAATCTCTCTTGAAGTTGAAAATAATTATTTATGCTTTCTTTTTTCCTCAATAGATGAAATACCGACAACGTGTCCTTGGGTTAATACTCGTTTCACCCCTCTGCAGACTGCCTTCATGGACAGAATGGTTGTTGAATAAGGTTCCTGTTCTAGACCATTTTAGTTTTGCTTAGGTCTTAGGGGTTAAATGATTACGTGCTTAGATAGATTTTTGTATTATTTCAGGTGATGTCAAATTTGCTTTATTTCTACGGCATGTGTGGCATGGTGAAGGAGTTATTGCTTAAACGATACTTCAGTAAGGTATTTTCTGCTTCAAAAACTTGTCCCGTTTCCTTTTATTTTGTGTCTAGAACTGGACTAATTGAGTGATGAGGTTGCAAATGACAATTGCAGGAAGTTCGTGGTAGTGTTGTAGTACCGGAATCCGATATAGTTCAGGCATGCAGAAGAGTTAGTTCTTCAGCTTGTTGTATTCGACTTTTATATGCTATTCAGTTGACTACTTGTACGAAATATGATGGTCCGTCTCACGGCAATTTTCTGACACAAATAGTGTTTTTTCCACCCCTGCAGTTGCTCGATGAAAGGCAGAGTATAAATGTTTGCCGATTCCTTGAAGCAATGAACGGGTAAGCCCATCTCATGCGGTTGCTTTCCAATGCGAGCATGCTGTTACTGCTTTGATCCAACACCGATGTCTTATTGACCGTCTTTCAGGAGACCTGACCTTAGCGAAGGATTGAGAAAACTCCATTGTCGTTCGCTAATATTTGTCGGGGAGAACTCTCCGTTCCATTCCGAGGCTCTTCACATGACATCGAAATTAGATAGAAGATACAGTGCCCTAGTGGAGGTATGTTATAACATCATACAACCAACTTTTTCAATGAAATAACAATCTTGAAATGGTGTGGAACCTACAGGTTCAGGCATGCGGGTCAATGGTGACAGAGGAGCAACCCCATGCCATGTTGATACCAATAGAATACTTTCTAATGGGATACGGCTTATACAGGCCGACTCTAAGCATTAGCCCAAGAAGCCCTTTGAGTCCATCTTGCATCTCTCCGGAGCTCCTTTCGCCGGAAAGCATGGGCTTGAAGCTGAAACCGATTAAAACCCGGATTTCTTTGTAAGCTGGAGAGATAAGATGAGAGAGAAACTGCAACATCACCTTTTTGTAATACATATATGTGTGTGTATACGTAAGGTGTGTAAATAGAGACGAAGTACAGACGGAAAAGGAGATATTGTCAATTCTTTTATTTGTAACCATTTTGTAAATTCCTGAGAATAATTATTTAGCAGAGTAACACTCAGTTTTTACTGATAATAACAATGTGCTCTCCATTTTCTATATATGGCGACCTCTCTGTTTTGCTTACTGTTGATGATCTCAATCATTGAATGAACCACACACACTACCTGTTTCAACTAAACATGGTGGGGTCTAAGAGGCTAATCATGGTGGTGCACTGCTGATCATCTGGCTGTGGAGTCAGCCATTGAAAATGGGTTTATGTCACTTTCCAGGGAATTGATAAGAAAAGCAAAGAAAAACCATTGGACCGGTTGCTGCCACAGTGTCACTGAAATAGTATTCTCTGTCTTTACCACCAACTTTCCAGGAAAATGATTTGATTCCCATCAAAATTTTCTCTTTTATAATGTGGTGAATCCATATAGTATTTTACTTTTTTATGATTGAACAGGGTAAAAAAAAAACGGGGGGAAAATGTTTAGTCCTTTTCATGATCTGACCCTGGGAAAATGCAGCAGATGATTTATCTCTATTGGTTTGAACGGGATATTATGAGTTGTGATTGGTGATTTTACGAGAGAATGAGAGAAATGATAAGATGAAAACAAAAATAAATATTAGAGAGAGTTTAGATCTCAAGAGAGAAGGGAGATCCTCTAATTTTGTATGAGATTTTTGTACTTTCCTCGAGTTTCTAGGATGAGAGTGATTATCTACAAGTCAGTAAACTGAGTAGATCTAAATGTAATATAAAAATTTAATCGGTGATGAATGACAGATCTAATCAAGGTACTGTAGCATTTCAGAGTATATAAAACTCCGAAAGAGATGCAACATATATAATCTAATTCATTAATTGAATAATCAAAATTTGATACTTCAGATTAAATAAAGCTATGTATTATATATGTTATCAATATTGGTAATTTGTGGAACAGAAAGTACATTGGTGATCCATGAATCCTCCCATACATGCAAACACACAAAAGTGTACCATTTACCCATCACAGGGTGTTAACTGTTAAGCGTATTCAACATACCAATTCATTCCAAGAAAGTTTACTATGAATTTCATAATATTTTCAACAAAAGTGTTCCCTGTTTGAATTAGAACCATACCCTTAAAGCTAAAAGGTCCCAGCTATAATGGAGCATTACGTACAGTTGTAACCTTAGGTGTATGTGTTTCTTTCGTACAGAAAAGCTGCTCGAATCCGGAATCCATTGACCCGATCTATACTTTCTTTCTTTCGTGTGCTTTTAATTGATGTTGAATCTTTGGTGGTTGATGCTGATCTGCGTCCTGGAGTTGCTGTTGGTTCCTTCCTCGTTTTGTCGTGCTTTCATCCTGTTCATATCCGAGTACATTTCCTCTATCATCGGCTTCAATAGACGAACACGAGCGTTTATGAACCAATTAGAGACCTGGACATTCATCGATCCGAATGCATACAATAAAAACAATCGAGTCTTATAATGTAATAGACTAAAACAGCAATCTAAATGCTCCAACCAGCTGGCTCCTTGTTAAGCCGCTTTTTATTGCAAGTAAATGTTTTTCTGCATCCTTAGGGTACCTGCAAATATGATAGTATATGTCAAAACATGTATAACCGTGTTCTGCAAGCAATACTCCGGTAAGAAGGCTTACGGATGAAGAAAGTTCTGAAACATCCATGATCGTAAAACCGAGACGGACTTCTCCGGCAACCTCTCTGTGGTCTCCATAGTTGATCCTTCTTTAGCTGCTTAAGGGCCCATTGCTCCTGGTTGAATGAATTCTGAAAAGATTTCTCCCTGCTTCTCGTGCATCCACTGTTGAAATTCGCTCCCATGGCTAGGATTTGGTTGCTGATCCTCTCCCTAAGGTTCTTGTATAAGAAAGAGATCGTATGTAGATTGAAACTAACGTGCACCCAAGGGTCCAACTCGGTTACAGCATGGAATTCAGATATGACCGTATGGATTTCATCCAAGCATTGATTGTATTTGTCATCAACCTGGTCTCAATAAAAGAAGGATAGAAAAGACGTTCAAGTACACCACAATGCAAGAAATTCGAGAGATGAATCATTTATCTTATGTATTGGATAATGAAGAAAATTATGCAGTTCATGTTTCAAAGTAGCAATTGATGCAGACCAAAACTGATCATTCATAATTCTACCAGCATAAATTAGATCAACATACCACTTGGAGCAAAGTCAGCAGTTGGGATTCTTTTGCCTCGACTGCCTCTAACTGAACTTCGGAGTAACCATTAACCTCAGGGAGATCATTCGAATCCATCACTGTCATCACTGTTGTTGCTCTGGCTCCTACACTCATCTGCTCTAGATTTTCAAGAGAATAGCTTGCAATTTGTGCTAGTATTTCTTGAACTGCATGAAGATATCTCGATCCCGATATCAAATGCGATACTTGAACTGGTCCATAGGAACCGAAACTCAGAGAAAGCTCCTTGGCATTGCAAGAAGTTTGTTCCGAGCCTAACCTTGTTGTATTCAAGCAACAGTTTATTTCGGAGGACCGGTCAGGTATATTGTTCCTGCTGATAACTCCAGGAAGCGATGTTGCAAGGCTTAAAGATAGCTCGTTACTGCTTTTCATGGAACCACGGGGATAATCCGGGCTCATATTTTCACCATTCGATGGTATCCACCCGTTTGGATCCGGATATCTTATCGACCAATACGGTTGAAACGCCGTCTTCAACGAGGTTTTCCCGGTAAGTTCAAGAGAACCAGGAAACTTCTCATACTCCCACTTACTGGTCATATTACCAAAAACTTCATTAAACACACAATTCACTGAGGTCACCATTGCAGAATTCATGCCATCAGAACATTCAATCAAAGAGTAGGTCCTGAAATCATGGGGGTAGATCGAAGGCGAGACGTTCGCTAACTCGTTTAAGTTTTCTTGAAGGCCACACCTTGCAGGTTGAGTTGAAGAAATGGGAGTCCTCCCCATGAATTGATCGTGAAACTCGATGTCATGTTCCGAACCCGAAGCGACACTCGCAACCTTTCTTCCAACCGTAGGGTCGAATAACCTGACATGATTAGTATGGAGATCATCACATAGATTGCCACTAAACCCCCTTGCACCGAGGGAAGCACCAGGAATCCAGCTAGTGTCTGGCTTTGGTTGATCTGGTTAAATAAGTTGGACTCGACTATCGAATCATTAGCAATCGTCCCCGGTGGATTCCCATCGACAACAACGGAATTTCGAACGAACATATCATTCTCCATTACACTTTTGGGCACAAAGATCCTTAGGCATATGGAGCTCCAACAACATGTAGGGTTCTTAAATCTTAGCCTTCATTTCATCTGTAAGTTCACTAAACAACTACCTTGACTTCAACTAAGATCATTCCACTGATCCACCGTGAACTTGAAGAACTGGTAAAATGGTAATGAAATGAAATCACCAAGTCAATGCATATAAAAAAAAGAATATGTTGGAAAAGTTAAAATTGGGGTTAAGGAAAATCATTTAAGGGAGCATCGATTCAAAAACGGGCACCGAATTCGGTGCCCAATTTTTTTTATTGAAAATAAAAATGGAATTGCATTTTAGTCCCTACATACTTTAGGGTATTTATAAAATTAGTCCTTAAGCTTCAACTATAAATACCCTAACCCATTTAGCTTCAAAATCATCCAAAATCATTTATTTCTCCCAATACTAGAGAGTTTTATTATGAGTTGTGAGTGTTTTGTAAACACCTGTAAATTTTCTCTCTTTGGTAAAAGATCTGCAACAGTCCGAAGACGTAGGCAAAATTGGTTGAACTCCGTTATCAATTTCGGGTATTATTTTTCCGCTCTTATTTCGTATTCTCGCTAATATGGTTATAGGGAAATTTACTAGTGTTATTTCTCAACAACTGGCATCAGAGCTTTGGGTGGTATGTAACATCCCAAACTACGGGTTAATGACTAAATTGTAAAAATTTCAGAATATGGTGATTAAAGTAGAATAGTTGAATAGTTTAATGATTTATGTAGAGATAATTCCTGAAAGTTATTAGTAAATATTAAAGGAGTCAAAGGACAAATAAGTAATTGAACAAGGAAAAATAATTAAATAATAATTAATGGGTATTATAATACCCATGTGGATAAGGACTGAAGAGATAAGCTTCAAAGCAATTCTCTTCTTCATCTTCTTCTCTTCTCCACGTGAAAACTCAAAGCAAAGGTGAGTTCTCTAATTTCTTGATTGTTTATTGATTTTAAGCATCAGTTTTGATCCTTAGAGGATAATTAAGCTTAAGGAAAGCTTAAGTTATCTTAAAATCAAAAGATGAAGAATTTATAAGAGATTTAAGAAAACGAGTTTTTATATGAAATCATGGAATAGAATTGATAAGTTGAATTTTAAGTTGAATTTGACTTGTCATCTATGAGAATAAGAAGATAGAAGTGTTAGAATTGTATTTAGAACATATGGAAAATTGAGTATGATTCTTGAATTTCATATGAAAGATAGAATTTTGAAGTTATAGATGATTTTCATGGATATAAGTTAGTTTGAGAAATGGTAGTTGGGTTTAAGGACATGGTAGGGGATTAAAATAAAAGAATTGAAGGAAAAATTGATGATTCTCGAGCTTAAAATACAATTTCTGGGTAGAGGGAACCGATACCCTATGAATGGGAATCGATTCCCTCTCTTGAACGAAAAATTACAGTATGTTCAGGGGGTATCGATTCCCCTTGGGGGTATCGATTCCCCCTAAATGAAAATATAGAATTTGATTCATTAAACCGGTTTAAGTTATTAACATCAAGTTTAAGTTTAGGCTTCTGATAGTTGTTTTTGAAATGATATATTTATGTATATTGAGCCTAAACAAGTTCCGGAATAATCAAAGGATTATAATCGAATCAAAGCAAGGCTAAGATGAGTGCAATTTAAATTGTACTTATGTGATTGATCAAACATTGGCTTGCGATGAGTCAATGATAGAGTTACTATGGTAAGAAGTAACTTATATAATGTTATGTGATTACTATGTGTACATTAGTACATATAATGGATGTATGTTTATATGTTACAAGATTTACATACTTACGTGAAAA